CGGTAAGAATCTCGTCTGTTTATTCGTAAGAGATATCGGGTGTATCAGGTGTATACAGGGGATCTGGTGTCTTGGAAAAGAGGGCGTCGACGCGAACGCAATATGCCGCGTTTGCAGGTTTCGATCGACTTTTGCATCGCGGTGCAGTATTTCTAATCCTCTCGGGGAAGAGATCGCTTCCTCCTCTTCCTCTCGAGGAGACCTCAATCTAACGGAACAAAAGAAAACATTCGTCGAAAACATTCCCGAAGAATGAAAAGCGCTTCTTTTATGATATTGACCGATGCTAGTGCAAATATCTTTGCGGGGGTAGCTTTACGACATGACCTTTCAACCTCTTCACGTGGAAAGATAAACTTGGAGGAGTTACGTGATATAATGTAGTCGTTAAATAAAACACATTTCCTGTTTTTCTTATCTCGTAGCGTAGCGTTAAGACTGTTAAGTAGAATCGGCGATGAAACGAAACGAGATCGTGAAGAAAGACGAGAGGAGGTAAGGTGAAAACAGACTGAAATTTTAATTCAACAGACAGAACGCGTTAGCCTCGTTCCTCGTTCGAGGAAGCCACGTGAATGACACACGGTGTATTGGAAACGCGTAGGTGGGGAAAACTGTCGAAAAACATTAGCCCCGTTTGGACGTGGCGTAGAGTGAGAAAAATGGAGATGTATTGAGGAGGCAAAGGCGTGCTTGTCCCGGAGGATACTATATTAATTCCGGTCGGCAGGGGTTGGAACCGCGTTGATAGAGATGGACCGATGCGTATCAGCTATCCGTGTCCGAAGAGTTACGAGCAAAGAGGCCGTACCCTCCTCTCCTTTCGTAGTCGGCCAGTTAAGCTCGCATCCGGACGTGAGCCGAAGCGGAAGGAAGGGGACGTGACGTCGCGATTAAAGCGAATTAAGCGGAGCGAACTGTACAAATCGGCGTGGCCGCGTCCACCGACCGGGATCCTATTCTTTGCTTACGAATTCCATTCTGTTCTCACTACAACAAAATACACAATCAGGTCTTCGCTTGCATTTATTGGATGCTCGGAAAATCGTTGTCGGATTCATCAGAATTGTGTTTGCTATTAGCAAATGGCTCTGGGAATTATTAGACGTGAATGAATTAATTTGTGGCCTATTTTTATGTTCAGTTAAGGAAAAAAGAACTTTTTTTTTTTTATCGGGGGCGGATAATTTCCATCACTTTTTATACGACAATTTTTTGAATCTTCACTGTCAGGTAATAACTTTTGAATACCCTCTTTAAACAAAGATGGCAGTTTTGAGTCAAAAAGTTCAATCATTATTTTTCCAAATCTCTTTAAATGTTTTAAAAATGCTAGAGCGGTCGAAGTAAATGGTGATCTTCGCGAGGTTAATTAATTATTTCGTGCGAAACGTGCAAAGTACAAAAAATTAATTAGAATTGAACTCAGAGTGAAGTTACAAGGGATTGCATTACAATTTCTCGAATATTATATTTCAGAGAGTTGACTGCTGCATTCAGTAATTTATTTTTATTTTCCCTTCGTTTATTCAAGCAAAATTATCAGTCTGAAAGAGACTGAGTATCTTTCGAGCAATTACGAAATGACAATGTTAAAGACAAGCATAAGTCTGTAAAATAATCATCTAACGATCGTACGAATTATTTGATCAGTTAATTATCCATATCGGTCGGATATAGAAGAGTGCGTGGGCATGCAAGGTGTGATTCTCTGTGCTTTTAAAGCCATCCTTGGCTTAGTAGAGCAATGACTGTGTGATGCCCGATATAATATCGATAATACGGTGAACACACAGGTATCCATCGTCAAGGGAATCAGCCGACGGATTCACATGAGCGTGTAAAACCTTTGAAACAAGCGAGCCATCCTTGAAACGCGTTGCTCCGGTCTGTTCCACTGACATTTTCCATGGGCGTATTTTCGCTGTCTGTTGCATAATTACGTTTAGCCATCGATGGCTAGAAACTTTACATCGTGAATGTTAAAGGTCCAATTAAAAGCACCTGGTGAGCATACTAAGTATCGAACTCGGATCGAACTGCCCTTTTGCATTATTCCCATTGTACTTTGACCTTTTATGATTTGAAACAGCTATGTGTTAATCACATCTGTCCACTAGAACACACAAATATATTCATCGTTTTTTTCTTTTTTTTTTTTCAACAACGCGATATCTTTAATATCTTTGACAAAATCTTTTACAATAGTGTAGAATTGATCGCTTTGAGTCGATCGTTCTTAGAAAGATTCGTAGAGTATTTGTTGAGTATTCGTTATTTGACGTTAAAGTCGATTTGGATTTGGAGTGCTAGTTGCCGGAAATCGGGAAGACGTGGAAGACTCTCACGTGGAAGACGAGACGGATACGTCGGAAAAGCAGCGATCTATGAATGGAGGCGAGGCTTGTACGATCAGTCGGCAAGCAAGGACGACTAATTATAGCGGTAGTATCTCAGTTTCGTTTTGTACGTTAGCCACGCATCGTCGATGTATATATATATATATATATATATATATACGCATGTGCATACAGATATATATCGCGGAACATTCAATTCCGAGATGGTATTCCTGCAATAGAGGACGTGACCCAGTTTAACGATGACGTAAAGCGGCTCAGGATTGAAATTCAGGAAGGACACGAGACTCCATAAATCGTCGCTCTTTCTTCTTTTACTCTTCACTTTCTGTTCCATTCTCTTATTCGGATTCGCCAGGTGCCCGTTTTCGCAGCGATGAATCTTAAACGCTGGAGGAGAAACGTGGAGAGAAACGAACGAACAGGGGAGAGAGGAAGACAGAAAATTATTTCGCGGACCGGGTCGAGTATTCGCCTTGACCCGCTGGGGACACGATGGCCTGTAATTATGTCATCGTGTTACTCGAATCTGCCTGGGATACATTGACCTATTTTTCCGAGCATAGACACGTTGAATTAATTTCCCTCGACTTTCGCTGTTACGAATCAAACAGAATCGCGTGACGTGAATGGGAATCACGCCTGATCGTGATTTGATTTTCACTATACTAAAAAAGAATGGCAGGATGGGGCTCGATTGATGGCTAAATAAAAGGCACTAATGATGCTAAAAATAGACAAGGTCAGGAACGAATGTAAATGTCGTGACGTAGTGTAAAATCACGCGAGACACACATTTTGCCACCATAAAAAGGAACAAGGAAGAATACGCAGGAAAGAGTTTATAAAGAGAATTCATACGTGGGTAAAATGTAAGAATGTTTAAACAAAACACTTGAGGAATCTTCAATAAACGCATCCTTGCAATGAATATATGAAGTATTTTTTTTTCTTGTTTTGTGGATACAACCAATTTACTCGTTAATTCGATATGTAAAACATTGATAGAAAATGCAATATTCGATAAGTGAAAATAAAAATATTTATAGAATAAAAAACTATCTAGAAGTTTATAGTGTTGTGTAGGAATATTCTACAAGACTAGTGTAATTGTTACTACATCATTAACGATACCAGTTGATCACAAGGAGTGACACTACTAATAAAAATATTTACTATTAAATAATAGTAGTAGAATGTTTAAAAGTACTTTTCAAGGTTGCTTCTCAAAGATTGTGGAGATGCTGTAGGACTATGGCGTTCCACCACTTTGCCCTCTTTATCCACAATGAATTTCGTGAAGTTCCATTTTATGAAATCACCAAAAAATCCTGCTTGTTCTTTCTTCATGTATTTCCACAAAGGATGGGCATTCTCTCCATTGACGTCAATTTTTTCAAACAGGTCAAACTTAACCTGGGAATACAACAGTGCAATTAGTAAAAATTAAAAGGAAAAGAATTTCCATTCTAGGTTAAGAGATTTATATACTTTTTGCCGATCGGCAAAACTGCATATTTCTTCGCTATCTCCTGGTTCCTGTCCATTAAACTGATTACAAGGAAAAGCCAAGATTCGTAATCCTACAAACATAACAATTCGTTTCAGAAAATAAATCAAGTACAGTGTTTTATATTTTACCTTTAGATTCGGCGTACTCGTCGTACAATTGATTCAGTTCTTTGTAATTTGTGGCTGTGAGGCCGCATTTCGATGCTACATTTACGATCAAGCACACATGCCCTTCGTATCTGTAAATAGGTATAAAAATATACATGTATTTACACATATCACACATCTCTGAATATCAAACTGATGTATGTACTTACTTAGACAGAGGAACTTCTTCGTCTTTTATGGATTTAGCAGTGAAATCGTAAATCGATTTCGCTTCTTTGTAATTTTCGTTCCCACTCATGGTTGCTGCCACAACTGAAATGATTTTTAATTCAGTATTGAAAAAAAAAAAAAAAAAATCTTAATTTCATGAAAATTGACAAGTGAGAATGTAATTTTCATGGTAAATAAATTCTTCAACATAACTAAAAGCAAATGCGGAGGAAATAAAAATTTTTAATAAATTAACAACATTAGAATAGTTGGCTAGAGTAAGTTATTACTACCAGGCTGTTATTAACGGAAGAAATTACATCATCAAAATCAAAATTGCACATTCGTGTTTCCGTTTTCAACATTTAAGTATAAAAAATATAGTTCTTTTTTATTTTATCTAATCAAGCATCGTAAAACATTAGAGATAAATTCTTTCAATACTAAACTTGGTCAATATAATGATTACTTGCGATTTTGTGTGTATATCGCATTGTCATCAATATGACGAATATCAAATAGGCAGAGTGACGTTTAGTGTAATAGTAGAATATATTAGTTTTCATGTTTTTTTATCTTTATTCAATTTTATTCTGATTGTGATATAGTTACAATATTCTTACGTGACATTATTGCCTATTGTGTGATATTACAAATATTTAGTAAAAGTAATATATGAGACATAGACCGGTTTTCTTTTTCATTGAAAACATATTTGGAATTCAATGAGATCAGATTTTTATATCAATTCAATGAGCAGAAATAACGACATTACACGGATGTATTTTATTATAAAAACGTTAACGTAACATTGTTTCATGCAATTCCGTCACACTTTTGAAGTACAAATTACGAATAAGTTTTTTAGCAACAAAATCGAGGGAATAACGGGTGTTAAATTCATAGTACGTGCCTGAAAAATTTCTGATTTGAACAAAGCCCACCGGCAGTAGTATTTTTAAAATATTCATTCTTCGTTATGCAATGTAAGGTCGATAAAGATGCACAATTGTGTTCCTGAAATTTTTCAGTGTGAACACTATATTTCATCTCGTGGCAAGTTTTAAACAAATATTTTTCTATCGTATAACTTAGCGAAATGCGTTAATTTTACTTGTAATAATATCAGGAAAATCGAGAATATTTCGATTACCTGCAATAGATTAATTACTTTAATATTGTCGAGTACATTTATACTAGGTTATAAGGTTAGGTCCATATTAGATTTAATATGTACTAGTCGCGGTGTTAATTTCAAAACAATGTATAAAACAGAGTAAGGTAAAGGCAATTTAAAAAAACACTTTTAAAATAATAGCGTAAAATGTTGAATTTGTTGTGTACAGCAAGTTCAAATCGATTGCCATCTGTCGTTCACTACGTAAACCTCACGTATTGCGTGATATTTTATGTCTAATCATTGCTTTAATTTCGTACTGTTTTACGCGATATAATGAAAATTATTGTGAAATAATGATTGTACTTGAAAATTCAGTGCGCGTCAAAAAAATTAAATTAATCTTACCAATAATATGCAAATATAAAATGTTGCGAGAAGAAAACCAGAAATACAACTGCACTGTAAGAGCTCTGTCTTTACACTGACTTGTCGGTTACGATTTTATGGAGTTTATCTACTTGCATACAAACGCAATGTACACCTGTATGATGATACATTTGGTATTTTCTTGCAAGAAAATACGACTTCGAAAATACATAAATTTGAATTTATTTGTCACTTAGATATAGCGTTCTAAGTTATAATAACTGTGTATGATGTGGGCAATTCAATAATAATATTGATTAGTTTTTAGGTTATGATCGTGACTGGAGCAAAAACTAATGACTTTTATATTTTTTTTTTTTCAGTACGCTGGTTCCGTGGAAAGTTTTTAAAGATAAGTTAAATGAAGTTCATCCAATTAGTTCTGGATTACAGGCTATGGCATTAAAGTCAACAATAGATCTCACGTGCAATGATTATATCTCTAATTTTGAGTTTGATGTATTTACAAGGTGAGATTATAAATATAGAAAGCAATTGTTTTATGTAATTATGATGAAAATTACAATAAATTTATCATTATAGGTTATTTCAACCATGGTCTACACTTCTCCGTAACTGGAAAATTCTGGCTGTGACACATCCTGGATATGTAGCTTTTCTTACTTATGATGAAGTAAAAGCACGTTTACAAAAATATTGTAGTACTAGACCAGGAAGTTATGTATTCAGACTAAGTTGTACAAGGTTAGGACAATGGGCTATTGGTTATGTTACATCGGATGGTGATATCCTTCAAACGATACCTCACAACAAAAGTCTGTGCCAAGCATTGCTAGATGGATATAGGGAAGGATTGTAAGCACACTTTTTTTCTTTATAAAAAATATTAACGTAAAAGTTATAATTAAACTTCATAATTCGTTTTTAGCTACTTATATCCTGATGGTCGTAATATAAATCCAGATTTAACATGGGCAGTTCAACCCACTCCTGAAGAACATATAAAAGTTACAGCAGAACAGTATGAGTTATACTGTGAAATGGGTAGCACATTCCAATTATGTAAAATTTGTGCAGAGAATGACAAAGATGTAAGGATAGAACCTTGTGGACATCTCCTCTGTACTCCATGTCTCACAGCTTGGCAGGTATTAATTAATTAACTTAGTCTATACATTCTTGAATTATTTAAAAGAAAAGTCCATAAGAATACGATTCATAGGATTCTGAGGGACAAGGTTGTCCATTTTGTCGAGCTGAGATTAAAGGAACTGAACAAATAGTAATCGATCCATTCGATCCACGAAGAACACATCGGCCAGGCACACAATCAGCATCTGCTAGTAACGCGTCGACTCCCACACGGGATCTTGACCCGGACACCGAGGTATCCGACTAGGAGTAGCATCTACCCTCATTAAATGTGCTCTATGTATAACAATTTTTCAGCAACACATCTTATTTTTGAAGAATGCTTCATGCATTTCACGTGAGATCTTGACTTTGTACGATTGTCATGTCATTTCATGTTATTTACAGAATTATCATCAAAGTTATCTCTTGTGAGGTACACAAGTTTAAATATAATGACAAACATATTAAAGTTAATATTTCGAAAAGTAAATAATGTAAAAAGGGACCAACTTTTTTGTCTCTATATGAGCTTCGTGTGGGTCATACTTTTTCTTTTTCTTTTCATTTTTTTTTCGTTTTTCTTTGTATTATCTGTACATAAAATGATTCGCAGAATAATCCTGAAAAAATTTAGATTTCCGATTGATGCGGATATCTTTTACAGTTCATGTACTAAACCAACATGTGTTTTTAAATTTCTTGTTTGTATGTGTTATGATTTACAAAAAAAAAAAATCTTCCAATTTATGGAGACCCTAAGGTAGGTTGCTTTTTTGCATTACAAAATCGAAAGCTTGTTGTACGAGTTATCGTTCTTGTTTCATTACTACAACAGCGTTTGCACTCAGTCCCATTATTCGTACAATTTAACATACACGTCATTATGTTGTACTTGCTGTGCAACGATTTATTGAATTAAAAAATAATGAAACTTATATTTTACTTGCAACAAACAGATAATGTTTAGAGATGTAGTCAATGCCCATATTAAGTTTACAATAATAATTACATATGGATCACATTTGTACAATAGAGTAAAGATTTTTGCTCGCGACTAATCAAGGAACCAATCATATTTTAAATGCATGTGCCAATGTATAGCTGGCAGCGTCTTTGTGGTGTATGCATACTATATTTGGAGTTAGAATGCTTCATCTCTACATACGATTGCATTATTTATTACATAAGAGTTTTGTAATATCAATATTTTATCAACAGAGTATTAATCTGTTCAATTTGCGTTATATCCGCACAAATCTTTTGTTGTAAATGAAAATTGTTTAACAAGATCTTGATTCGGTGCTCTTCGCTTTACATTTTGTTTGAAATGAACTTAAATCCTTTGCATTAGTTGGTTTTTCATTAATGTGTATATCAAATTATAAGAATGACATGGTAAAAGTATAGAACAGAAGGAAATAGTGATTTTGCTAGTACTAAGAAATAAGAAGCAGATACAATATAAAACAAAATGATCTTCCAACGAAAATAACGTTGTTTACATCGAGCAATAGAAATACTATGTAGCTCATGAATGAACAATCGTTCATTCGTTGTATTTTACTAGAATTAATTATGTACCTGTTGGCGATAGAAACATGTAATAACATGCGACATCTTTACCAGGGAAAAGATGTTATTATTTTTCTTTATACTTTAAAATATTTATTATTTATTCTATTCACGCATAAAACGAACTTTAAGGAGTTATGTTACACCAGTGATTGTATGGTAGCACTTCATGTCGAATTTTGATGCTGTGGTATATACGTTATCTTCCCTTCTGTTTTTTTTTTCAATACCTTAATGCTATAAATCCTGTATGCATTAATGCATGTAAGAGCAATTAAAAGGTCGAATTCATTTTTAAAAACAAAACTATTTTTTTAAGATGTGAATTCGCAGTTAATGGTTTAAGAAAGGGGAGTAATAATTTTTTAAGTATATAGTATCTTTATGTGTACGAATTTATAGATAGTAGACAAAGTCTACTATATGTTGCATTGAAAAGTTGAAAAATTAAAAGATAGATTTTTCTACTGCGTTTACGTGTACCCATTAGCGTAATTTTGTACAATAACTAGTGCTGCTAATTGATCAGTCATTTAGATCCATTCATGCTGTGTACATCCAGCAATGAAAGAGGTCTAAAATAAATAATTCATAAACATTACAAATTATAGCGTACATTTCTTCCTATTCATTGTAAGAGTAGAGATCTAAAAAACATTGTTTTCCTTTTGTTTTCTTTTTTTCTCTTTTTTTTTTTTTAATAAAAATTGTATTATTATTACATTGAATTACTTTTGCATATTTTATACATGCATCCCTTTTGCTGGAGTCTAATTTTTACGCCTATTAAATCAGTGTTCCAGCAACAGGGAACTGCTGAAAGTGAACCAAAGTGTTACATCGTTATATCGTTCGCATGATCGTTTATCTTTATTTCATAATGTTATCTACTGGGTCCATTGCTCTGTCCGCTGCATGATCGAAAACTAATCGATAATGTACATAACTGAAGGAAATGTATTTTGACTCATTTAACGCAGGTAAGTGAACAAATGCATTATGACCCCCTGCTTTACAGCTTTGTAATTATGCTCGTTCTCAATTGTGATGTTCTTCTGCATACAGGGTCCTTTTTGTTTTTGCTACATTCTTTTTATTTATATTAATTTATAGAATTCCTCGACAAGATTTTAAAAAGATTTACTACAAAATTTGATTATTCATTAACAAATTTATCATTATTTAAAATCAGAATTGAGCAGAAAATAATTTTTAATGCGATTAGTATGCATCTTTTTGTGCTGGAAATAAATATTATTAAGTTCAAACAATTCTGCTGCTGTTGATCGATGTCACAAGTATTAATTCATGCTTCTCGTTTATTCTCGTTTTAGGAAATTATGGATTTATGTAATGGACATTGTGGGCTGATGTGTTACGACTCGGATGAAGAAGAAGACTCCAGTCCAACAAATTCGCCAGTTTCGATACGGAGAATTGTGCCAAGTCCACCGCTACCTCCTCGACGACCTTCTCCATCCCCTACGCCAAACAGTCACTCAAGAAATGGTCGTCACTTAACTGTTCCAAAAGAGAATGCTCCACCACCGCCTTCATCAACAGCCAACACCGCATTCAATTCTAATACCGATAATCAGCAGAATAATAACAGTAAGCAGTAAAGAATAAAATAATCCAGAGAAAAGGAACTTGTTCTCGACCACTTAATTACTTGTTCCTATTCTCTCTATAAAAATTAAGTTATTCTATAAAAACAATGTACGCTTTATTTTTGCTAGTAAATTCCGAAGCAGGTTACGATATGTTACATCGTGCCTCTTCGCCGTCTCCAATGCCACCGATACCCCCCGCGCCGTTTACAATTGTCAGAGGTCACGTTCGTCGATCACAACCAAACCATTTAAGCACAACGCAACCGCCGTCTCTACCTGAGAAATCTAGCCGCGTCAGTGGTGGATCTTCATCGACGACCAGCCAGATCGCGTCCAGCAATAACGTACCACCGGTCCCGCCACCGTTGTCGGTGCCACGGCCTCCAAAAGCAATCAGCAAAGAGCACAACAGACAGGATCATCATTACGAGAATACGATCGTGATACCTGGTACAAGACAACACGTCGTGAGGAACATTAATCTGGAAGCGAATACAGCTCGATTGTCCGCCCTGATGAGAGGTAAGGACGATCCCACCAGTTCTTCTAAGCCAGAATTCGCGGCATACGAGAACGTGAACGTCGAACACATTTCCAAGCTGACGGCTCTCGGATTCGCACAAGACGCCGTGATTAGAGCCCTCGGTATTACTAGGAACGATCTTGAAATGGCTTGTGACATACTACACGAATTTGCTACGAAATCGTCTTGACCAGGTATGCATAAAGTGCAAACCTAAAAAAAAAAAAAGAAAAGAAAAGAAAAGAAAAAAAAACAAGATTATCGTGTTATTCACAGTTTTAATGGACACTACCTCATAATTTTATTCAACGATAATGTTCTTCTTAAAAAAAAAAAAAAAAAAAAAAAAAAAAAGAATGAATAACAAATTAATAAATTAATTTGATACGGTAGAAAGAAAATAGTAACCGCATTCATCTTTTAATGGGCCAACAGATTTAGTCACGATTTCTTCCTTGTCTTTTATGTTTCAGGATTAAATACTGAGGAATCATAACTGACTCTACTTGCCGCAATGTAAAGTACATTATATACGTAGAAATGTGTAGAACACTTGCTCTCGCTGATTACTGGGGAAAATTGTTTTACACTCCCAAGCTCAGGCATTTGGTAATTCGAGCAATACACGCACCGAAAGCTAACAGAGATTCCCTGTCCAGCTAATCGGCAATATTCTCGATCATTTTTTGCACGCATCACATGTGTTGATGTTTTCCAACCCTCGTCATCCGACTGGACGATCTTCGTAGAAGATACCCTGAAGTACCAGGGTGTATTTCTTTCCCTTATACGTATTCACATATACATACAATCAATACAAATAGAAGAAGACTGCTTAAAACTGCGAAAAGATGCGATAAATGTTACAAATGTAAGAGTTTTGAACTTTGCAAGGATAATTCGCGGCCGCTGAGTACAAATTCCTTCGTTTTCCGCGATCGATGCAAGCGAAAAATATTGCTATTACATATTTCCCTAAGTAGTTCTCCATTTTTCGTATAGATACATTTTTCAATCTACTCAAGGATTTATACATAAATTTTTAAAGAGAGCATGCAAATACACGATTGTACAGTGGCCAAATTTATCAATAAGCTAATTTAAACGATTCTCCCTTTTTTATCCACTTATATATTCCACTTTCTCGTTGCTTATTCCTTGGGAAAAAGGAATATTCAGATCAAATTTTTACAAAATATTTAAAATAATACCTCATATATATTATATATATATAATATATAATATATAATATATATATTATATATATTATATATATATATATATATA